GACATATTTTGTAGGACGACCTAGAGGAACGCACCTAGTCCGGAGTCCATAGTATGTATGATCATTTCCAATCGGACCGTCGACATGGTACATTCCCAGACGTTTCGCAGGCATCACCAGTCTTAGCACCACACCATAACTTGTCAGAGACAAATGAAGCCGATCCTTTAACCAATTGTTGGCTAAAAAATTGTGGTATCTATCTTTCAGTCATGGGCTATTCACCTATCCTATATCCTCGTACCACGCCCTCACTATTACAATTTCTTAGCTGTCTATTTAAATGTGGTATGGTGTGCCCTTTTTAGTGGATGTCGTGAAAACTCTCCGTATCCCACGTTTGCTTTCTTACTGCCTCAGCACGCGATCCCTTTCCCATAGGTTTTGTCAGTCACCCTCTTTCCCCGTAGGATCATCCGCCTCCTACCTTCCTGGTTCAGCTATTTCACGCGACCCCTGGCACCCAATCTGTATTACTCGAAGCGTTATCTCCCAGTCGCAAGCTTCTGATGGCACGCCTACTGAGTAGGTCCCTAAAAATCAGGATTCTCCAGCTGGATGCGAGGAAATCTAGAGCTTAAAGAGCCCGAGTAGTTCTCATCCTCAAGCCTTTGTTTCATGAACAATATCTATGATCAAACACGGTTACTATTGGCCAACTAGCTCTAGTCTTCGCCGCATATATCGCGTTTCTCTGAATTCCTATGCCCTAGTCTCTTGTGTGTGAACCGAATCAAAACAATTAGAACATTTGTGTGCTGGCACACAAGAGACTAGGGCATAGGAAGTCATAGCTTGACACTATATGTAGAAGCCCGATAGATGCGGCGGAGACTAGAGATAGTAGGCTAATAGTAGACGTGTTTGATCATAGACATGGTTAATGAAGCAAAGGCCTGATGATGAGAATTACTCGGGCTCTTTAGGCTCAAGTTTTCCTTATATCAAGCTAAATAATCCTGATTTTTAGGGGCCTACTCAGAGAGGCGGGAGTAGGCATGCCATTAAAGGCTTGCAACTATGGAAATAACACTTCGAGTAGTACAGATAGGGTGGCAGGGGTCGAATGAAATACCTGAACCAGAAAGGTAGGAGGAGGGTCCTACGGGGAAAGAGGGAGACTCTGATAAGACGTATGGGAAGGGGATCGCGGGTTGAGGCAGTAAGGAGTCAGCGTGGGATGTGGAGAGTTCTCATGAAATCCACTAAAAAGAGCACACCATACCACATTTAAGTAGAGAATTAAGAAATTGTCATGAAGACGTGGCGGAGGATATAGGATAGGTGAATAGTCCATGACTGAAGTATAGATACCAAAATTGTTTAGCAAACAATTGGTTAAAGGTTTGGCCTCATTTGTCTATTTTGACGAATTGTAGTGCGGTGCTAAGAGTGGCAGGGCTCACTGAGGATGCTGGCGAAATGTCTGGGAATGTACCACATCCACGGTCCGACTCTGGAAATTATCATGCATACTATGGACTTGAGACCAGGCGTGTTCCTCTAAATCTTACTACCAATATGACTAAGTTGAAAGAATAAGGTCAAATAATTATACAACGAAAGAAGATTGTGAACATACAAAAGGCCACGCCATCTTAATCTTCATAGCTTCGATTATTGGATTTATTTAAAAAATCGCGAAATTACCCATCCTAGCTAACTACGCATATGACAGGAAAATGAAAGGTTTTAATGAAGAGAAAATATTAATATTCAATGCCCCTTGAGCAAAAAGACCTGAAGACAGTGAATTATTACCGGATGGTCAAGATCTGAAACTCGAATGCCCAGTTCTTCTTCCGAGTCTCGTTTCGTGTCCTCATGTCCAACGGCATCCGAAACTCCGGAATCAACATTTCTTGTTCTGCAAGATGTATTCCCAAGTGTAATATGATGTATCTTTTCAGCCGGGCCCGGCTTCATCCGAATTATCTTGTTTCTACCATAAGTCCCTCTAAATTGAGTCCACTCGATATCCGACGACTCATTAAGTAAATTTGAATCTACACGATTCTCTAACTCCTGAGAGTAAGCAGAAGATAGATTATCGGTATTTGGTGGAAAAATTTTTTTCCTAGACCTGTTTCGTTTTACAGCGTACTTATACGAAATTTTACTTTGTGTCGTCATGTTATCTGCACAAATTAGTTTAGGTACTTCAGCACAAGTAAATTTATCGATAGGAACGTATAACCTCGTCTCGTGCTCATCTTGATACGGCCCTTTTCGATCGTCCTGATTTTTAGCGTTGTCTAACAATTCTTCAAACTTCGCCCGCTTAGGTGTATTTTCCAAATTTTGCCCCCTATCATGCCGCTTAGATTTATCATTAATATTAGATACTTCCTTAGTGTCAGTGATAACGCCGGTCTCGGCAATATGAGTGGGTTCATGTGAAGTAAAAGGGAGTTCATCAATGGAAAGTTTCTCATGCAAAATAGCATCGGGAGCCATCGGCGAAGTCGGCACAGCTAAAGCAGCTAAGGGCGGATCTAAAATTAAAAATTTGATCAAAAATGAAGCGGAACTACAGTAAATAGGTACTGAGAAGAGATAATAAAGGGGATAAAGAATGAACTGAAGTGGCTCCCACAAGTTTTCATTGACATACCTTGAACTATTACTCACGATTTAGTTATAGTTAAAGAAGCATACTATTTTAGAAGATTCTGAAACCAAGCTACATTTACTATTGTACGATTAGCCAAAATTTAACGAGAAAATATACAAGTAAAGTTTCGAATTACTTGTTTGGTCTATCATAACATCGTTTACTTCCAGATAATAACAATGCTGTAAGCATTAAATTAGCAATAGAGTTTGGAGACTACCAGTAAATCAATCAGATAAGATGTATTCACCCTATTTCGTTTAAGGTGATGTAGGACTGGTAGTAGAATTTTCCCACAATGATATGAATTGAGTTGACATTTTCATTAAATTTCGCATAGTCCTGCTTTCCCAAAAGTTGTTCTAATCCAGGGTGGAGTGTAGTTTCGACCTCGCATCGGTCTTATCAACACCCTCAGCGGGAGTAGAACTGCGACAGTGCAGGATGAGAGCTTGACACGCTAACCACTCAGTCTACACTGCCACGAGTACCCTTGAGTCACAGGGCATAAGTGAATTTCAAGGAAGTTCAGGCCTTTTC